CTTAATGATTCAAAATCTTTTACTCCGTGTTTTAAAATAAATTTTACTCGGTGGATTAAAGTAAATGCTGAAAGTGGCTGCCATTTACTTCCTGACAATATGCCAATTTTTGATAGAATGCAGAGGCTCTACGATTCGTCTCAAAAGGTATCAAATCTATTTCATCCCTTATTCGCTGTATCAATTCTTGAATGCTTTCAGGTTTTGTTTTGTAAACCTTACTCTTCAGGTGTCCTCATAGATAATAATCAAGAGGAGTTAGGTCTGGTGACCGAGGTGGCCAATCCTCTCCTCCCTCATTTCTGTTCCTTCTTCCCATCCATCGTAATAGAAAAGTCTCATTTAAAATTTGACGTGGCCCTAAACCAAAATGAGCAAGAGCTCCATCATGATGAAACCATATTTCTTCGAAATTATTTGGAAAAATATTTCGTATGGCTGGAATTATTTGATCTACAAGTAATCTGTCATACCTTTGAGCGTTCAGATTTTCTAAAAAAAAAAAAAAAAAAAAAAAAAAAAAAAAAAAAAAAACGGTCCTATTAAGTAGTCATCTATTATTCCACACCATACATTTATTTTTTGTGGGTGTGTGTGAGTTTCCCGCACCCAATTCGGATTCTCATCTGACCAGATACGAAAATTTTGATTATTAACTTCTCCCGTTAACAAGAAAGTTGCCCCATCTGTAAAAACAATTTGATAAGGGAACATGGGCCGGACATCTATTAGTGCCATCATTCTTTCACAGAAACCTATACGACGCTCCACATCTCCGTCTTGCAATTCTTGAACATATTGTAATTTATATGGATGGAACTTGTTTTTCTTTAAAATTCTCCAAACGGACTTGGGAGCAATATCGTGAGTTTGAGCGGCTCTGTTAATAGTAGAATTGAGACCTTCAATAAATGTCTGCAGAACATCAAGTTGTTTTTCTTCATTAATGGCAGGTCTCCCTGATTTAGGATGATTGTTTACGCTACCAGTTCCTCTGAAACGTTCCATTGTTTTTAAGACAGAGGACTTATTAATTCGATGATTCGGATACGTCTCATTAAATAATTGAGCGACAGCAGCGTACGAACGCTCGTTATCACCCCATCCACGCATCATGAGGATAATGATTCTTTCATGTTCCGACAATTCGCCAGCCATTTTTAAAACGTTTAATTTTTAATCTGTCTCTGTGAGAACTGATTTTAAGTAGTCGTGAGAACAACTGATTTTAAGTAGCCGTGAGAACAACTGATTTTAAGTAGCCGTGAGAACAACTGATTTTAAGTAGCAGTGAGAACAACTGATTTTAAGTAACCGGTTGATCCTGATAACACTAAGTGCATGAAATTTCGAAATTTGAACGGTCGCCATTTTTAATGGGGGGGTCGTAGCGACTTAAAATTTTAAGGGTGTGTTTGTTATGAAAAGACCTTTCAAATGAGCCCCCACTCGACCCTTAGTCCAATTAAAAATTTTCAACTCCCCTTTTACCCCCGCGTACCAGGAGGTGGGGAATGATCGGTATCCATGTCATAGGGTAGCTTTTTTGAAAAATCAAAATACGTGTTTTACCGTTTCTTGATATTTTCATTCTTACAAAAATTATTTAAGGGTTTCCACACTTTTGACAAACCCTATATAGTATACTGTATGTATACAAAATGTCCCGCGCAAAATGGTTAAACGGCGAAGTACAAGTAGAACTGGTTATATTGATTAAAAAAGTCTCCTTTTAAATAGCAATATAATGTTTTGAGTTTTTTTTTTATTAGTTATATTAGTAAAAAAAAATTAGCGAGGTGCAATCGCTGTCCTGGAAATGACTGATCGCGCGATATTCTTTTATTAGATCATAGCGAAAGGCATCAGAAGATGCGAACGGTGCGTAAACAATTGTTTGACGTAGCACCTGATATTAATGTTACGCAAAATTTTACATGGTTGTTCAGAAAATATGATACGAGACATCTCTGCTCATTTTGACCTATTCTATGCGCACACGAGTTTTGTTGTATGTTGTATGTTGTAACAAATCTCTTGTATAATATTATATATATCTTAACTTTTCATCGTTACTCTTTACAATTGCCGTACTATCCTGTTATAATTCACCACACTATTATTTAAAATTACTTATTGTTATATATAATATATTTGCGGAAAAATTATGAAACAGCTTAAAGCTGTTGCAACAGCTCAAGCAAACAGGACAAATGAATATGTCATAACCGACTGTAAGAGAAAATGTTCAACAAAAATGTTCCGTCTCCATGACTAATCCAATAATAAATCCTAATATTGAAAATCTTGCGGATCCGAAACTGTTCAATTACTTGCTTTTTTACCATGTTATAGATATTTATACTATACTGTACATGTTACTGACAAAGTCTAAAAACGACCATTTCGCTAATTGACTAAACTTTCCATAGTTCCAATCTATACCCAGGTAGAACATAGAAGTCATAATGATATCATAATGATGTCAGTATGACTTTAT